TCAGGTCCCAACGAACCTGAACCTAAGGTCTTAAAATCCTTCAAACGAATTCAGGTCCCAACGAACCTGAACCTAAGGTCTTAAAATCCTTCAAACAAATTTAGGTCCCAACGAACCTGGACCTAAGGTCTTAAAATCCTTCAAATAAATTCAGGTCCCAACAAACCTGAACCTAAGGTCTTAAAATCGTTCAAACGAATTTAGGTCCCTACGAACCTGGACCTAAGGTCTTAAAATCCTCCAAACAAATTCAGGTCCCAACGAACCTGAATCTAAGGTCTTAAAATCCTTCAAACAATCCAGGTCCCAACGAACCTGGACCTAAGGTCCTAAAATCCTTCAAACAAATCAAGGTCCCAACGAACCTGGACCTAAGGTCTTAAAATCCTTCAAACAAACTCAGGTCCCTACGAACCTGAACTGAAGGACTTAAAATCCTTAGCGAATTCGGAAGTCTTGAAAACTTTCGAACGAATCAAGATTTACATGAATCTACCCTTAATGGCTTTAAAAGCTCTTTAAAAAGAATTTAGATCCCTAAAGATCTTAATCTAGTCTCAAAGATCTAGGAAATCATTCCTGACAATCTCACGACCAATCATACTCAAAATCACTGTGACCTCTAAGGTCACAAGATCAGCTATTAACAAGATCCGCGATCTGATTCCGAAAAATCACATGAATCCTATACTTAAAAAGTCACAATACATGGCTCGAGTTTACACTTCGAAGTAGAACAAATCAAAACAAGCTAAGTGATTTGAAATGAAGGTTAAACTGAAAAGGGAAACAAGGTTTAAAAGCTTCCTCAGGCCATTAATGGTTCAAAAGATCCTAACACAAGCAAAGGTTTAAAAGCCTCCTTAGGCTATAAGTCTTAAAAAAACAAACAAAGCCCGTAGGGCAGAAATCCTAAGAACATGATAAAATAGCTTAAAAGAGATCTTGTCCTCTATCCCCAAAGACCTCCTAAATATCGCGATCTTGCTCGATTGCCTCATTGTCCATAGCTTGGGCACCTTCATCCGTCTCCTTGTCATCACCTCATGGGACCACTTCAGCTGGGGCTAAATCAGGACCTACCAAACCTAAATTAGAACCATACTCTCCAGAAAAAGACGGATCAAACATGTTAACCTCAAAAGTACCTGAGCTTTCTGAGAGTTGAGAAAGAGGGAGCTTGCTAACTGAGAAATCAGAGACCTGCGCCTTCTCATAAGCAGTGGTCGCTTCTGGCATCAAGGCCATCAAACGGTTGTACTCCTCCTCAGCACTTTGAATCTCGTTTGTCAGCAAATCCTTTAAAAGCTCTGTGTTAGCTTGAAGCTCCTGAGCATAGATCTGAAGATCAACCTCATATTTCTTCTTGGAGAACTTCTCCTTGATAGAGGCATGGACCTTGTTGTAAGCATCAATTACCTCCTTCTTCCCTCGTCTAACGGCGAGCTTGACTTCGGCCTCCTTATTCTTCTGACTGACTTGAGACGAGACAATCAGATCTTCAACTTGTTGCTCAGCGACTCTCCGAGCATTGTCTAGCTCGGCAATCCTCCTGCTTTTCACCTTAATGTCAATCTCCAAGCTCTCGATCTTTCCTTGCTGAGTATCAGACTTCAAGCCGAGCCTCTCAAATTTGGACTGAAATGCCGAAGCCTGAGCTCTGGCTTGATCAAGCTCAACCTTGGTGGCCTTGAACATCTCAGTAACCTAAGCTAATTCTCCAGCGTTGGGGGCATTGCTCACCGTCTCCTCAAACTTCAGTTGAGCCCTGTTAACGGCTCCAGCCAACTGCGAAGAGACGAAAACAGCAAAAATGAATATCTTTCTATGGAAAGCAGTAAAAAACTAAAATTCCGTACCTGACCCATATAATGGGCGATTTCGATGAACTCCTCTCTGTTGGTCAGATTATTGATCGGGGGAAGGGAACATACTGTCCTCTTCATGTGCCTCATCAACGTCGCCAAGCCCCAGGGATCATCAAGAATCGATCCAGGCTTCGAATGAGCAAAATTCCAGCCAACGGCCCCTCCTCTGGAAGACAAGGAAGAAGACCTGGAAGGTCTATCACCTTGATCAGTCCTTGACCTCTTGTTCCTAGGAAAGTCAGTCTCGGAAGGTTCCTTGATCATCTGAGGATCAGTCTCCGTAACCTGAACCTCAGAGCGAGAGACTATATCATGAGCTCCCTGTGCTTCGACAGGTTTGACATCCTTAACTGGAGCAGAAGCTTCATCATCGATAACTTCCTTCACGGAACTCAGGAAAGAACCTCCCTGATTCTTCTCGCTCCCTCGCGAGGTGTTAGCTGCTTTTACCGGCCTACCCTTAGAACGGAATGACGGCTGAAGAAGCATCTTGGCTGATTGGGTCTTTTCGGTCCCAGAAGTGCTAGCTCCCGTTGAAATTGATACCACCGAGTTACCTTCGGAAACTGCATTACCAAATTTCTTTCAGCACTCGGACATCTTAAAATAAGCTTACACACGTTAAAGACATTAAAGTAAGCACATTACCTTCTAAGTCTGTGACTGGGACATGGTTTAGGAAGGAAGCGTTATACCAATCTGGGAATCTAGCTGATCCTATTCGAGAGGTGGTGTATGACGCCCAGGTACAGGGAGTTTGCTGCAACTTCCGAAAGAGAGCTCAGGTAAGCTTGCCCGGGAGTACAGCAGGATCCTCAATATCTGCAAGAAAAACCAAACATCTATCAGGTCACAACAGATAAAAGTAAACGAACATACTCCTAGAAATCCTAACCGGATGCATCAGACCAAGAAGTCCTGAGGGCACGACCCACAGGAACCATCGAAGGATCAATTTTGACATAGAAATATATCTTCCTCCAGTCGTCATAACTGCTAGAAAATTTAAAAATACCCAACCTGGGACGACAAGGAAGGTATTAGGTCCCGCTACCACCTTCTTTCGAAGCACTCTCCTTTATCAAGAACAGGCTCATTAGGGCGCTAAGTCCGACAGCAACTCCCTCTTCTTTGGATCTAGTGATGAAACTGTTTATCACTCGAATGACCGAGCGACAGAGTTGGGAAAGAGCTAGTTGGTAATGATCAAGAAGATCTAACAGGAGGTCAGGGAGAGGAAACCTAAGGTGGCTCTTGGAAATATAGTTCTCATGAACGCAGAACCAACCCTCCAGAGCCGTCTCGGGGTTTCCTCGGGTTTACAGGCCCTGGCCAACTCCCTCCGACCCTGGGCCTGGACCATGAGTTTCACAACCTCTTGGCTCTTTAGTACGGAGGGTGGATGAGATCCGGAGGGAGCACTCCCGCTGGAGCCCTCAGTCTTTTTCGTTCGTTTGGAAACCCTCTAGGCTATCTGCTCCTTAGCCCTCTTCTTCCTCTCGGTCTTCCTCAAGGTTTCACCGACTTCTTGTTTCACCCTCATAAGTTGAGCACCAGTAGCAGAGATTCCCGTCTCTCCAGAACCTTCTTTTGGTCGGGTCATAGCAAGAAACGATGAAAGAAATCGAAAAGAGATAGGAAAGGATAAGAAAGATAGAACTAATGGATCAAAGTCTCTGGGAGCAAGAATTTTGAAAGAGATTATCCGAGAGACAGCTTAAATAAAAAAAATATATATAATAAAAGCAAAAGAAAGTAAAGTAAAGAAACCAGAGGAAGTTACCTGGGAAACCGAATCGAGACGTGGAGAAGGTGGGGAGAGTTGCAGTTAATGTATGCAGCTTTATATCCCATCAAGTCTCAAAAATCGGGGGATAACTATTTCAAATTTATTTTAACCGAGCCAATGATCTCACTAAACATAATCATAGCCGTCAGATTAGATAAGGGATATCCTCAAAAAAGATAATGGGTAATCATTATCTCAGCGAAAAGGTTAAGATTCGGCGGCTAGGTTTAGCTTCCAAGACAAAGTATCTTCTCTCGAAAGCTGGGGGAAACTGTTGAGCCAAATATGGCCTGCTAGCTGAAACTAATGGGCTCGAACGATAAAAGTTGACAATGGGCCACCAAAAGCCCATTGGCAATTAATCTTTGAGAAAAGAGTTAAAAAGAAGCCAAAGGCTGTTTGCTAAGCAATAAACGTTAACGAAATAAGTCACGGAAAAGAGCTCTTGACCTCATTTGCAAAGTGCCAACAGGAGTAGCTCAGGATGGATGCGCAGGACCCGGTCAAAAGGAGACTGTTGAGAATCCCCCAACTCACAGAGCAAATCTCGGAGGTTGGCTAGGATCGTTCAAACACGGCTGAGAGCTATTTAAGGAAGAGGAGGAGATCAGAGAAAAGGATCCTCTCTCGATTCATTCATTCAACCATTTTACACATATTTTAGTTCACAAAACATTCTCATAATTCTTTGTAATCGTCAGAATCATCTTTGTAATCATTATTTACCAAAAACATTCAAAACAATCATATTCATTCTACAAGTTCTAAACGTGATTCAGCCCACATAATCTTTTCTCCAACCTTAACCTGATCTAAAATTAGGAGGTGAGTTTTATCCCTCACAATTATCATATACGATTGATGTATTAGTTACGATATTAGCTAATAATACATGAGAATATTGACCTTTCACAAAAGAAAAGAAATAAATTATTGACCTATAAAATAAAATTATAGAACATATTGTTTTAAAAGTGAAAGAAATAACATATTAGGTATTCATGGTTAGAAACCTCTTGTTTTCTAATAGTTATAAATATTTTCTGTAAGCACATCATTCAGTCATTCAAAAAGAAAAAAGACTAACTAGCACAACAACAAAAAATGGAGAAAACAGTTTTGATATTTGTTGGTATTCTACTTCTTTCAACGTGTGAATAAATAAAATTGTATTTTTCTATTTTAATTAATTATTCATCTATCTCATCAGCATGTTACATTTTTATTATTATAAATATTATACATACAATTTCAATAGTAATGACTTTGTACAGGTACACCGATTCTGAACGTACTTGTAATAACAACTCCGATTGTGCTTCAGTCACGTGTCCATCCTGACAACCCGTTTGTTGGATTGGTATTTGTGAATGCCCTCCTGGCAAGTATATGGCATCACCTGATGATACCAACTGTGGTGTTGCTAATCTCATTGAATATTGCAAAGCAAAATGAGAAGTAGCTTATACTTGTATTTTGAACCAATGTTATTGTCACAAACCTCCTATGTAGATATTACAAAGAATTTATACTAATATAATAATAATGATAATAATAATAATAATAATAATAATAATAATAATAATAATGAAAATAATAATAATAATAATAATAATAATAATAATAATAATAATAATAATAAGAAAAGTATTACATAGGAGGTATACATATATAAGGTTCTTAGGGATATGGGAAACACAAAAAATTCTTTGGAGTAAGGTTTCTAGGGGAATAAGGTAGAGTATATGAACCAGTGTGCGTAATCAGCAGACCGGAGCCGTCGCCAATGAGAACTTTGTCATTACCGTTGTATGGATGATGGAGATATACGTTTTCAAGGTCACTGGTGAGATGGTGTGTGGCTAAACTATGTATGATCCACGATGTCGATGGTGAAGGCGGCATCATGGGAACATTGGCACGAGGCTGTTACGGAGGAAAGTTGTTTAGATTCGACTGCTATTGGCCAGTAGAGGTATAATTTCTGAGCTGAAGACAAAGTCTCGTGCTATGTCCAAACGTACCTGAGAGTTGACACTTCCCGTGATAGCCTACTTTTCCTCCTTTTGAGTATTTTTATCTCTGTTATTGGTGTAGCATTGAGGCTGATTGGATCGGTTCCAAGGCTGACTGGTGATATGCCATGGATTTTAACCACTTTTAGTCATGGTATATAAGTGTTTTAGAATATATTTACTACAATATAGAATATATTTAGAGTATTTACATGTTCAAGGACGATTTGAAAAAAAATGGTGATTTTGGTATCTTTTAGAGTCTTGTCTGTGAAGAGATGCACAGACGCGCCAGATGTCTACCTGTGTATAGCCACCTTTCCACTGTTATATTTCGCCAATATTTTGACAGATTTGAGTTAGATTTCCAGTGCCACCAGTTTGAGGTTAATAAGCACCATGTAGCATAAGTTATGTCTGTTTTACTTGCGAGTGGTCTATCTGCCTCGCGAGACGAAGCTCTCGAGGAGATGAAGGAGTATCGACCCACGACCCTGTAGCATAGGTTGTTAATGCTTGCCTAAAGATTCATCGATCGACGCTTTTTCCATAGAATCGATCAACACTCTATTCAAGTCAACAAGCGACAGCTGGGACTGGACTTAGACATCTGATTAGTAATTGTATGCAACAGCTTGATTAATTACTTATTAAACTCGAGTTCTAGATTTTCTAGAACTGAATCTATAAAAACCTTAGCATCCTTGAATTGTAGTTTTGAACCTCTTGATTGATAAATCCCTAATTCTAGTGCTTTTCTCTTATTGTTTACACACAATAATTAATCAACCAAACAACTGTTTTGTTCACCTTGCTTTTGCTTTCATTTATTTACTGCTTTTACATTGTTAGTCAATGTTTCCCTTAAATTAACATAGCTCACGCATTTACTAAAATACTTTTGCCTCGGTTATGTTAAATATAACACAACAGAAAGAACTGTATACTAATTGACTTATTATCATTTAAGAAAAAATATGAATAAAGATTGAAAGTAATGTTACTTACCTATCAACCTAAGCTATGTGATTACAATGAATATTGAAAATACTATTACTTGCAAAACAAACCCTAAACACTACATATACGTTACTAGACTTTAATCCACACATTCATAGACCTTACTAAACAAACCCGAAACATAAAATTTTCCTCAAACCCTTATCTTCCTTGTAAAACAAACTGTAAACAAACAACAAAAAGTAAATATATTATCTAATTAAATATAGTCAACAGCAAGATATTTATGTTATAAAAAAATATTTAATATTTCTGAAATGTGGTTTACGAAAGCATAATATATGAAACATATTTTTGACTATGTAGACTGGAATGAATATTCTTTTTTTTTACACATTCTTTTTAGTAACTTAATATATCTAAACTTCCAATTTTTCATATAGAAAGACCGAACTGAACAAAAAAATGTTTTTTTTAAGACTTTTAATTTAAAAATATTTAGGTTAGTTGAAAAATATATGGGAGAAAATCTAGATTTGAAAATTGTTGGGGTCAAAATCGGTACGACGGAATCAATAGCCAAAATTCCCCGCAAACGCGTAAACGCAACAGTTTTATGAATCTCGAGAATCATTTTATAAAACTAGAGAATCGTTTTATAAAACTCGAGAATCATTTTATAAAACTCGAGAATCGTTTTATAAAACTCGAGAGATCGTTTTATAAAACTCGAAGATCGTTT